GTACATCGAGATCGATACACTCAGCATTGCATTTGCCCGTCACCCAATCAGGTGTCTTTGAAAACACTGCCATGTGTTACAGTTCTATATTCCTTTCCGGGTTCGTGGGTCGATCATGTTTGTAACATTTGCGTTGAGAGTTTTTCCCGCAATGGCTTAGGCCCAGGGTTCTCTTTTAGTGTGTTTCCCCCTGGTTCTGACAGCTGTAGGGCCGGCGAAATTATTTTGCGATAAATAACGAGGTCGCGTAGGGTCGGCGAATTAGATTTTTGAGGATGTCCCTAGCGAAACGCTGGTTTTTGAAATCGCGATCGATAAATCACAGGGTGCGGGACACGTTTTGACAGGGGAACGGATTACGTATGTTCCTATCGATTGGCCTTTCCATTGCTTATAGATTGGCCCTCTCCAGGGGTACAAAAATGTGTGTTTTTGCATATATTTCTTTAGATTGGCCCTCTCCAGGATTACGTGTGTTCCTATACATTGGCCCTTTCCAGGGGCACGAATCCGTGTGCTTTTACGTATGTTCCTATAGATGGGCCCTCTCATTGCCTTTAGATTGGCCCTCTCCAGGGGCACGAATATGTGTGTTTTTACATATATTCCCATGGATTGGCCCTCTCCAGGATTACGTGTGTTCCCATATATTGGCCCTCTCCAGTGGCACGAATACGAGTGTTTTTCAGAATTTGTTGAGGATGTCTCGAGAGAAACGCTTGTTTCGTGTTATAGATTGTCCTCTCCTGGGGACCAGAATTCAGAGGATCTCTCAAGTGAAATGCTTGTTTTCACGTGCCCAGGTGTTGAGGATGTCTCGAGCGAGACACTTGGTTTCACGCCTCCAGGTTGCCCAGGCAGAGGTCTGGCGCCAGGATTTGTTGAAGATGTCTCGAGCGAGACGCTTGGTTTCACGCGTCCTCGTCGCCCAGGCGGATGTCTAGCATGAGGATGTGTTGAGGAAGTCTCGATCGAGATGCTTGTTTGCACGTGTCCAGGTTGCCCAGGCGGATGCCTAGCATGAGGATGTGTTGAGAATGTCTCGAGAGATACGCTTGTTTTCACGTGTCCAGGTCGCCCAGGCGGATGTTTAACATGAAGATGCGTTGAGGATGTCTCGAGCGAGACGTTTGCTTTCACGTGTACAGGTCGCCCAAGCGGATGTCTAGAATGAGGAGGTGTTGAAAACGTCTCGAGCGAAACGCTTGTTTTCACGTGCCCAGGTCACCCAGGCGGACGTCTCACATGAAGATTTGTTGAGGATGTCTCGAGCGAACTACTTGTTTTCACGTGTCCAGTTCGCCCAGGCGGATGTCTAGCTAGCATGAGAATGTGTTGAGGATGTGTTGAGCGAAACGCTGTTTTCACCCTGCGGCTTCCAACCTGATGCGGATGACTGCATATTGGGTTTGACAGATGTCCGAGCCGGTCCCTTTGAACGACCCCGCGGTGCGTCTTTTGGCCACATCCCGGGCACGAACAAACGTATCGCTTGGCGCGGCCCTTGAACTTCCTCGGCGCAGGCTCCTGGCATGTCCCCCTGGCAATTAGCTCGGGGGCAGCTACTATTGTTCAGCAGGCAAGAACTCAGCTTAAGATCAAGCATTCGTCAGGCACTCGATGCAAAGGATGACTCGATCCACGACGCTATAGAGCACAATCGCGGCACGGCACATCGCAATTCAGCACGGCGCAGCACAGCACAGACTTCGGCACGGTACATCAAGATCGATACATTCAGCATTGCAATTTGGCATGTTTCTTGGCACGTTCCGTGGGGCGTCCCTCGGCGAGTCCCCCTGGCACGTCGCGTGGTGCGTCCCCTGGCACATCCCGTGGCACATCCATTGGCACATTCCGTAGCGCGTCCCTTTGGCACGTCCCGCGGTGCGACCCCATGGCACGTCCCCTGGCACGTCGCCTGGCGCGTCCCTTGGGACGTTTCGCGGCGCGTCCTCCTGGCATGTCCCCCTGTCAATTAGCTCTGGGGCAGCTACTATGTGTTCAGGCAGCTCGAGCTTAAGATCCAGATCAGTTCGGTCAGGACTCGGGTGCAAAGGATGACTCGATCCACGACGCTATAGAGCACAATCGCGGCAAGGCACATCGCAATTCAGCACGGAGCACTAGCACAGTCTTCGCACGTACATCAATATCGAGACATTCAGCATGCAATTGGGCATGTTTCTCACGTTCCGTGGGGCGTCCCTTGGCGAGTCCCCCTGGCACGTCGCGTGGCGCGTCCCCTGGCACATCCCGTGGCACATCCATTGGCACATTCCGTAGCGCGTCCCCTTGGCACGTCCCGCGGTGCGACCCCATGGCACGTCCCCTGGCACGTCGCCTGGCGCATCCCTTGGGACGTTTCGCGGCGCGTCCTCCTGCATGTCCCCTTGTCGATTAGTTCTGGGGCAGCTACTATGTGTTCAGGCAGCTCGAGCTTAAGATCCAGATCAGTTCGGTCAGGACTCGGATGCAAAGGATGACTCGATCCACGACGCTATAGAGCACAATCGCGGCAAGGCACATCGCAATTCAGCACGGTGCAGCACAGCACAGCTCTCGGCAGGGTACATCAAGATCGATACACTCAGCATTGCATTTGCCCGTCACCCAATCAGTTGTCTTTGAAAACGCCACCATGCGCAACATTTCTATATTCCTTTCCGGATTCGTGGGTCGATCATGTTTCGCGTCACCTTCAGATCCTGGAGGCCTTGGTATGAAGAGCCGTTTCACGTCATCGTTCGTTATTGGAAGCCTTGGCGTTACGTGTTGTTTATGTCACCTCTCGCTTTTGGAAGTCTTGGAGTTAAGAGCTGTTTACGTAACCTTTCGCTCTTGGGAGCCTCGGAATCAAGAGCTGTTTACGTCACCGTTTGCTCTTGGGAGCCTTGACGTTCAGAACCGTCTGGCCCACTGCTCGCTCTTGGGACCCTTGGCGTTCAAAGATGTTTACGTTACCGACTTATGTGAAAAGGGCTTTTCTGGTCACCCGGTGCTTTGGGGAGCCGTGGCGTCGAAGCGGCGTTCGTCATTGGGCCGCCCAGGGGGGAGATCCTTTGGGGGCTTTTTTGGGTGTCTCAGGGTCGTCTTGGGCCGTTCTGGGAACCTCTTGGGCCGTCTCGGGGGGTTTGGCCCGTCTTTGGGGCCCTCTTGATGTTCTCCTTGGCTCTCTTGGGAACCTCCTGCGGCACTCTTGGGGCTCTCTTGGGAGCCTTTCGGGTCCCTTCTGAGGCCGCCTTGCAGCTCTATATGGCCGTGTTGGGGCCCTCTTGTGCCGTCTTGGGGCTCTCTCCGGAAGGTCCGGGGCCGTCTTGGGGCAGCGTCGAATGCCCTCGGAGTCATCTTCGGCCGATCTGGAAGGCGAGAATCCCAAAAACAATGGAAACACATAGGACAATCAATGTTTGCTGCCTCCTCAGGCCGTCTCGGGCGTCCTCTTGGGAGGCTCTTGAGCCGTCGTCCGTCTTCGGGTGCGTGGATCGGCTTGGAACCGTCTTGGGGCCCTCCTGTATCCTTTTTGGGGCCTCCCATGGTCATCTTGGGCTCTTTG